GGGAAAGAGAACAACCATCAATCACAACTTGGTGTAGTAAGTACCTGGTGCGAATGCAAAAGAAGTGGCTGATGCAAACTCTTTTTGCTCCCGAAGAATATACGTTAAAAGTGCAGCTGTCCCACCCCCGAGAGAATGGCCTACAATCTGAAATACACGACTTTCTGTTCATTAGACACATTAAGCAGATAGATGACTTTCTGATCTACTCTCCACAGGACAAAATGAATCCGATTTGAAAAGTCCTCTGATATGGACTTGAATTTTGCATTCTGCTGTTTGTTTAGACAATGAGTACCCCAAGTACGACAGTGAGTTGTTGAAAGTAGGTTAGAGATGCTCCAGAATTATAAAGCCATAAGAAAAACAGGACTATGATCTCATGTTCACTTCTCATAGCCAAGATGATGCTATACTTTTTTCCCCTTGAATTGGAATAACAATATTATTTTAATTAATAATCCAACAGGGAAAAAGTACACCCAACCCAACTCCACCAACAGGACCAACCCTGTTTGAGTCCCCACCTGGTGGGGGTGTTGGGGAAGAGAACATACTAGGTAGCCTTACCCCTGCTTTTTATGCAGAGAGGCTGATTCGAACCCGCGACCTCAGACCCCACGGCAAGTGAGCTTACCTTACCGCTGAGCCAAGCCGGCCCTTCCCCAACTCCACCAAAAATAGTCAAATTATTTTTCTGCTATCAGAACAAACTGCACACTTTTCTCCCATCATCTATAGTACCTAAACCTAATAACTCTGTAAATCGGATGCAACCAAGAGCATGGACACAAAATACTGAAATATGAAGGAAAAAAAAGGTAGAAACTAGAGATAGCGTATTGACTAAAGCGTACCTTTAGCTTGCAACCGGGATTCTCATCAAGGGCCTTGATGAGACAAGGGATGCTAAGTTTTGCAATCCATCGAGCTGCAGCAACCATTCCACAGTGTGCATAGCCTAAAACTAAATTGCTTACTCCACCGTCATGCAACACCGAGTGGTGGAAAGGGACCACAGCACCAGTTGCAGCTGTTAGTGTATCTTTGATGCTGTGAGTGCCACGAATCAATAACAGGATACATCTTGATCTGGTATCACGTATAATTGTGAAAGCAGGCTTCAGAAGCTGCGACATTCCCAGAATCAATCAATCATGGTTCCCAAAATTAGCTGAAAGAAACAATTACAAAACTACTAACACAGACAAATGAACTGGAGAACAATGTATCATTGTTCCTTTTCAACCATTCAATTGTACGCAATATTCTCTATCAATGCTTAACAATGAATTTCACGCCATGGAATTGGGGGTTCTAAAGCATAACTGAATACTGGCACCAAGAAACACAGAGACATGACCTACCCCTGCTTTAGGCTTCTGAAGAATAACATCTTCATGAGTATATCCAGCTGAGTCCAGAAACACGACAAAGGGCTTCTTGGAGAAAAGAATACAAAGGGTCAAAAATCTCAATAACTCATTCAACTCGGCAATAATTTCTTGTCCTTTGAGTTCTATACAATTACTCCCAGCATAAACACTTGCAACCTGCATGTCACCCTGAAACAAGAATAATGCCAACAAGATATGTCAGTTGCACAAAATTTCTTCCCCAAAATATGTGAAAGAAATGGCAAGTAACAATACTTAGCATTCTCTACTCTAATCAGTAAACTACATGGAAGGCTTCAAAACTTTTCCCTTAGCCAGGAACCAACACTATGAACCCATGGCAGCAGAATCAACCAAACCTCCTAAAGGTTACAGAGGAGAATACAATTACAAACAACTCATGAGAAGCACATATATCAGGCAAAAACAATCAGCAGTACCTAAATCACAAGTCAACATATTTCCATAGACATCTTAATAAGCATCTTTTATCAGGAAAATATATAGAAATTGGCGGACAGACCCCAAAAAAAGCCCATCAGAGAGAGAGAGAGACTCAAACACATCAGAATAAAGCATCAACGGGAAAAACTCCTTAGACAAGCCAAGGCAACGATTTTCTCACAAAATATTTATAAAGATTAGTCCAGTCAGGGGCAGAGACACGACACTCAACCTAGAATCCAAAATTCGACCTCGAGTCCTTACAATGCAGCCTCTAGCTTGAAGCCAAAACCAACAAACAAATGCTTTTGAGCCCTAAAATCATGCAGAAACTTGAATAGTTGATGCCTGGAAAGCAAAGACACGAACCTGCCTACGCATCAAATAGTTGATGCCAAAAGCTAGGTCAGCGATGGGCCATTTTCCCAGAGTCTCCGAGTACGTAAACCGCAGCGTCTCCGACAAGGTGGAAATGGTCTCGAACCAAGTAGCCGGGGCCAAGGCCGGCCTCCTCGAAATCCTCCTCCTCACGGACCTCCTCGATTTGGCAAACTCGCCGCCGTCGTCCTCCTCACCGTCCCTCGCCACCACGATTCTCCGGCCCAGTAAGTACAGCAAGACCACTGCCCCTGCGGCGGTCGCTACCATACCCGCCGCCATTTTCTCCGCCGCTACCTCCGATCTGACGACGACGATCAACACCGATTCACCCTTTGCAGAATCAAGAAAACGAACCAAACCGAATTTCTACTTCCGCAAGAAAAAAGGTTCCGGAAATTCTTGACGCGGAAACAACGAATCCCTCTTAGCGATCGAAGGGAAATCACATTGCTCGGTGATCGAGATCTTCGGGAGATTGCCGATTCGGGATCTCGGAGAGGACGTTTCGCAGAGAGAGAGAGAGAGAGAGAGAGAGAGGATCGTTATTAAACGCGACGAGGCATCCGCCGAAATTACCGAAAAGGGCATCCCTTCCCCGGGTCAGATCAGATGAGACCTAGGGGGTAATATCGTCATTACACGGTCCGAGGAGATGACCGATTAAGGCAGTAAAGAAGAGAGGATAAGGCACGTTAAGCATAGAGTGATGGATCTACTCTCAAGCAATGCATCGTACTTACCAATTCTCCGCTAATCTCGATCAACCCCAAATCATTCGCATTATCCATACATTAAATTTAAAAAACTATGAAATTTGATAATAAAACAAAGGGTTAATTAATCAATGATGAAAATTTGTGGATTAAATAGCAAAATGGAACATGAATTTGAGAGAATGCTACATGTAATATAACAAAAAGGGATTAGCCGTCGTTTTCAGGGATTTTTGGTTTGAGGGATGCTGAGAAGGCCTTCATCGACCAGAGGTTGAAGCTCTTCTTTAGCCATCTCACGGACTTGAGGATCCTTCGTCTCCAAGAACGCTGAAATCACCTTGGCACTGCATATATTGAGATTTCACACACAAAAAGCCCCTTTGTATTAAAATACCAAACTAAAGCATATACTAAATAGAATTTTACAAAGACTCGAACCAAATTCTCAGAAAAACTACAGCGCCAAATATCGGGTAGGTTATTTGAAGTCCTTGTAAAATTCACGATTTTAACTAAAAGACAGGAAAATTCGTATATTTTTAATTGAAAATCATGCATTGACTTACAAATTGGTAACAAATTTGTGTACTCGTATGGCATTTCCCCAAAAAAAGAATCAAGATTACCAGGAAGAGGAGGTAATAGGAAGCTTACCTGTGTCCTTGAGCCCATGGCCGAGATTTTCCTGACAAAGCCTTGTTGAAGAGAGCGGAGGCGAAAAGAGGGCAGTCCAAGACGAGGCGTCTTATGGTGCGGCTCGAGTGGAAGTTTTCCAGTACATGCTCCGACTCCTCCGGCTCGTGTTTCGGGTTTGCTGCAACATATGCGATAGCTTCGTTCAACGAGTTCAGTTTCTCGTCCAGAGACGGGCGAAGAATTCCGTCAGAGCCTCCTGTTACTACCTGACGAGACGGATAACCCACGTCCATGCAGCAAAGACAAACACAATATAAGTAAAAAAGGACAATAAGTACAAAACAAGAGAGCAACTAGTGTTTTTATGCTTTCTGGGATAGGGATTTTATCCATAACTCTCGGTTTTGTTTTCTTAGATCAAAGATAGAAGACGAGAGCTGTTTCTATATCTACAACCACAAACCATAGCCAGAATTATAACTGACCGAGTTCCAGCAAATGCGAGATTGAGTTGAGCAACATCCCACAGTAAAAAAATATTATTGTCCAAACACGATTCATGGCACAGAAATAAGAACATGGCAGTATACCTAAACATGTGCTTAAAAAGAGATCATTTGTCTGGCCACAGCTTTGAATAATTGAATAATTAAAACCAAAACCATGATAGCAGAAATGAAGTGGGCAAAGAAAAATCCAGTACCTCATACATGATCTCTTTGCCGAAGTTCGACTTGAGCAATTCTTCAGCGTTCTCAATACACACTTGGACTAGGCTCTGTCAAATAATTCAGAATGTTTTATGAGAGCAGAAAGACTTGAGTTTTACAACGTGTGATCAGAAATCAAATAAATAAACAGCGAGAAATTCACTGAATCTCCCCACCTCAGCAAGCCCGCTTTTGACAAGCAGTTCTTGCCTTCTCAAAAGTGGATCTTTTTTACCACCCGCAACTCCAATGTTTTCTTCGGCATCCGAACCTTCATCATGTTCAGTTACTTTATCTTCTTGTTCACCTTTCTCCCCACAAGATTCTTTACCATCTGCCTCTTTTGTTTGAGAGGTTGTTTCTGACTTATCCTGAAAAGAAAATTGAAAAGGTGGATGGGTTTCTTGATTTCTTCACTGACTCAACAAGAAGAAAGAACAAACAAAGACATTTGATTATAACATTAGAATGAGATGGAGAGTTAGAGATATATTATGGGTACCGTCATGCATAATGATGGAACAGACAGATCAAAAGAAGCCAGTTCATCAGGACTGAGATAACGTGAATAATTTGGATGCAGCAGCTGCAATAGTGGTCGCCTTCCATTCTACAAACACAATTTTGCAGGCATAAGATGCTTTAAGAGGGGATTGAATAAAAGAAAATCATGGCAGTAATCTTTCTTGAAGTAAAAAACAATAGGATGGCTCAAAGGAAACAAGAAAAAACAGCCTTGACCAACATTATGAAGCCTCAAGATTTTTAAATTTTTTAACGTAAAAAAATGACTAATCCAATTCACTTCAGAATTAATCTAAGGTATGAGGTAACTAAACAAAAGAAACAAACCTTTTCAATAACAAGATCCTTTAAGGTAGCTTGAAGCTCACGAACAATAATCTGCCATAGTTGACCAATAGTCAGAAGTCATCCAAGAAAATAAATTCAGAAGGTTCAGTAAGGAAATACCCTGCAAATCTCAGTACATCTATATCGGGTCAAGGAAAGTTACCTTCGACACAAGCTTCGTGTCATCAACTGTCGATAAAACACATGCTAGAACCTGACAAACAAATAATATACAAATAGCTGTCATAAAATGAGTTATAAAGCGGCGCTGAGCAGATAGTTGAAAAGGTAAACAAACCCCAGGAAACAACTAAAGGCACCCTTACCAAACTCCCATACTGATCATGAGCTATCTTCTCCACATGGCCTTTCATTCCTTTGATAATCTTCTTTCTCTCCTGAAGAAACATCATTTGGGAAGGATAAATACTAAGTTCAATTTACATGGAAATTATGATTTTCACCCATTTGACTCAGAGATCAAACCCAGGAGTTTTTTACTCTTAGCATGAGCACCTTTCACATCACACAAGATCTCCATTCGATAATTCCAGATTGGTTTAGATAGATTCATCCCCAACAGTAATCCTCTCTCAAAAATTATGTTGATATGCAACATAATTTGTAGAGATACACCAGTACATAACATCTAAAGCCCAAAGTACTTCAGAGGAAATTCATGTCCATTCAGCCTATTATCCAAACAAATCCTATGCCAGTGTGAAACAGGAAACGATAAATAACCTATAATGCAAGGATAAAGGTGAAAACAACAAGCATGGAAGACCATGTTTACCTTAAAAATAAGCTCAAGAATATGAGTAATAATGTTTAGACTTAAAAATCCCATAATAGCAAATGAGACAAACCTTAGCACTTCCATGCTTGATACAGAGCATCGCAAGCCTAGAACCATCACGGGTATGAATCATACGGACAAGATGGGGACCTGACAATTGCTGAATCACATCTGCAGCAGATGTCTGTCGGAAAATCCGTTTAGGAAATGGGATAAGAATGTAATGCGAAAAAAGTCACACTCAACCATTTCAGTAAACTTAACTAACCTTGTCAGCTATTGTCAAGTATTCAATCAATAGTTTGTGTATGATAGAGTGGTCAACAATTCCCTTCTCGAGAATCGGTTGGATAATGGTAATCATGTGTCTTATAACAGCACCCTTTTGTAGGCCGAGCTTAGTGATAATGTCTACCACCCTGAAGTACAATGAGAAGCATCATATTTTGTGATCAATGCATGGCTTTAGAGAATAATATTGGTTTTGGAACTCCATCATTCTTATCAACAGAACAGATAATATGATGTGCTTCTTTGGTGCTCCATGTGCGAAAGAAGAAACATAAGGCACCTTTCCAGGATATTACCTTTTCTCTGTCATTGACGTCAAGCCCTTGAACAACTGAAGCTCTGCAGAATACAACTCCGCAAGAAGCTCTTGTTTTTGTGCTGCATTTCCCAGCTGATATGCATACTCGACGACTTGAAGACAGGTAACAACACAAGAGAGTGAGCTTTAAAAAAAGAGAAATATGTTGCCTAATTGCAAATAGTATCTTCATAAGCTCACACAACTAAACTCTGCGATAGGATGAATTTATCTATGTGATTAGTCCCAAATTGGAATGCTAAAAAATCCAACACATACCGACAGATCCCACCATGTGTCGGAGCAGAGGAGCGACATGTCCCCTGAGGCTGGAGATGCAAACCGCCAGCTGCTGCTTAGATGCTGCATAATGGAATTGCTCGAGTTACATGTAAGTTTAAGCAAGCAATATGGGTAGCACTCAAGTTAGTTCTTACCGTTATCAAGCATCTTCTTTAATAAGTGAACAGCATAAGTATTAGATGCCAGGCTAAGAAGGTGCGGCTGAAGTTCCGTGAAAACAGCTTCCCTTTCGGCTTGTGAGCAGTATTTTACACAAGTCTGTGTATCAAAAGAAGAAAAAGCCCAAAATCCATAAGAACTATCATCCTCTTGAGCAGTTTCCACTTTCCAGTCTTTTCAACGGAAGTAAGGACACAAGAAAAAAAGAATACCTGGAGAACACGGGATGAAACATGCGAGCCTGCAATATCCGGAATCTTTCCTTTCATCTTTTGGACAGCTTCTGATATCAACCTAACAAACAGTTTTCAACGAAAGGTGATAAAACATAAACTGCATGGTAAAAGTAAGCTATTTAGAATTAAACGACACATGTATTATTGACTTGGGCACATACTTTGATCTCTCTTCCTTGCCAATGTCTCGGCGTCTCATCTTTTCCCACAGAGATGCAAGCTCCTGTCCCCAAGTTAGGTTATCAGAAGAAAAAAACACCCTTTTCAGTCGCTATATATTTCCAATGGAATTGTTCGAACACAAAAAAAAAAAACACTGTTTGGCACTACCAAGACAAAACTCATGCGAAGGCAGGCAATGATCACAACAGAATGCGAAAATTTTCTTTAACATTATCCTCGGGATATTATTGACTGGAAGCTTAGAGTTTATCAATCGCGAATTTAATTAACCCAGAAAATTAAAACACACAGAAATATCAATTACAAAATACTACATACTTGCTCGAGATTGTAATGCCGCTTCCGCTTCTTCTTTCTAGCTTCAGCTAGTTCCTGCCGTAGTAAAAAACCCATCAGATAATGATTACACATGCTTAATCGCGAGAAGAAAAAAAAAACATACAGGGGCAAAGAGACAACCTTAGCGCGTTGGCGGCCCTCCTTCTTAGACAGGGAAACATTCTTATCTTTGTCTCCTCCAGATTCGGAATTGATGAATTTCGATTTACCCGTTTGTTGCCCTAGTTTTGGCTTCTGAAACTTCTTCTGTTGCTTCGCCGGATTTGTAGAAACCAGCTTCGCTTTCTTCGTATGTTGAACATCGAGTTTCGTAGAACCTTCGCTATCCTTCCTCTTCTTCGGTTTTTGCAATTTCAGATCCTTCGAAGCCATTCCAGTGAACCGAGAGGGAGAGAGGAGGGAGAGAGTTGCTAGGGCTTTAGGGTTTTAGCGACTGAAGGGAAGCAAGCACCTTCGAGGACACTTGCGAACTCTAGTAAAAAAGAATGACGAAAGAGGGGCAACTCTTCGATAAATAACAACTTTGCCATTACCATTAAACGTCGGCCCAATTCCAAGAGGAGAGAAGGATAAGTCCGGCCCAGTTCATATTTCAGTTATGGGCTATGCAGACCATAGTTAACCGAATATATTCTTTATTAGCTTAAATTCAGGTTTTAACCATGCACTTTTTCATCTCCTTGTCAAAATTTTAACCTTATATTCTATTAAATTCTGTATTTATTATATTTAACAAAAAATATCTCGTGGTTATAGTTGAGATTCTTCTTTCTCTCGCGAGCGATTTATTCAATTATTTATTGGAACGAAAAATCACATAAATAATACACTAACATATGTATGTATATATATATATATTGATCTGCATTTAATTTTAAATGTTTAATATGATATTGACTAGAAACGATGTATTTATGCGATGGTTCGTATCAATTTTAAGACATATGACCATGCAGATTTTGTGTCTCCTACAATCATTAGCTAGGTTTGAAATATGCGGAGGCACATTCTATCATACATGCCATTTTGGTGAGAATTGTACTAAATTATGAAAAATTAATTGGAATTAAATCATCTATTTGAAATGTAATTTAATAAATAAATCCTTTTTTGAAAAAGTTTAAATTATGAAAAACGCACATGTACTAAGCAACCTAAGCATCAAAAGGAGGAAGAGAAAGTTTAAACCTTTTTTTTCCCCCACAACATACTACGAAATTCACAAATACGAAGACAAACTTGGTCAGAAAACCCATAAATCGATAAACAGAATTTGGTCAGAAAAATCAGAAGAAGAAATGAACAGACATCTACTGCTGCTGTTGCTTCTTCTTCTTCTTCTGTTTCCTTCGCTGCTCTCTCATTCCTGTCATTTTCACCAAAAATATTTATCAAAGTTTCTTTTTGGGGAATTCAATCAGGAGGCCAGGATATGTGGGATTTCATACGTTTTTTCTCCTCTTTTCTCTTCCTCGTCAAGTCAACTAAGTTACGCCTCTTATCCGCCATCTCTTTCATGTCCATCACCTGTACCATTCATTATGACACCATACTTCTATTGCTACCATGCCCTTTGGACAGTAGAGTAGAGGCTATGTGAATGGACAAAAAAGCAATAACACTTTGAGGAAGTACCTCTTTGCCAGCGCTTCGAAGGGCTTGAAGCGGTTCGATGCAGTCTTGACCAATGACCACGAGCTTTCTCCTCTTGTTGTCTCCTCCCCCTCCCGGTTCAGCCTTCGCCTGCTTTTGTTTGGCCAACTTTTCAAACTGATGCTGCATAACAGATGAAACCCCTGCCTGTACAAAACAACACAAAATTTTCATAAAGTTACCACTGGATCAGTTCTGTGGTGAGAGGAGATTGGCATAACAGATGAAACCCCTGCCTGTACAAAACAACACTCTCTATTGGCTAAGGTCATGTCACACACAGAGGCGAGCAGAAAGGATTTTACAGATGCTACAATGTAATAAGATGAACTGTAAGAAATAGATTTACTACCCCGGCTAAGTAACGGCGTGAAAATGTCTTGGGCTGCATCGGACGTGACAGCAGAGCACTGAGTTCCTGCAGTTTATTTAATCCATGACATTATATGTCAGGGCTTTTCCGTGTTTCATGAAGAGATTGATAATTTGATATCTCATGGCACACGATCAATCTACCTGCTGCAGCTTCTTAAGTTGCGTCGAGGTGGCTTTTTTCTGCCGAATATTGTTCGCTCTTTCCTCTTCTCTCTCATCGTCTTCCAATATTAGTTCCATCGATTCAGCATTTCGCTCGATCCAGGTCTTGTTTGCCTTCTCCTAAATTAATACAAAAGAATTGGCAAGTTATTATTTTCATCTACTAAAAAGAAGCAACGGTAGCAATTGGAGTGAAGCATTCACGTTGACCACGAAGGAAACAACTGTTAAAAGAAATGCCACACAGTAGATATTTTTCAGAGAGACGAAAACATGGCGTTCTGTGTAGCTTTCAAACTCAGGTAAATTAGAATTTGAACTACCAGTTGTTTTCAAATTTTATCCCCATGATATCGCAACAAAATAATTCGATAGTAAACCTATATATAAATGCATTTCCTGCAAATTGGTTCAAAGGGCATACTCTTTCCTCTTCACTCTCATCGTCTTCCAATATTAGTTCCATCGATTCAGCATTTCGCTCGATCCAGGTCTTGTTTGCCTTCTCCTAAATTAATACAAAAGAATTGGCAAGTTATTATTTTCATCTACTAAAAAGAAGCAACGGTAGCAATTGGAGTGAAGCATTCACGTTGACCACGAAGGAAACAACTGTTAAAAGAAATGCCACACAGTAGATATTTTTCAGAGAGACGAAAACATGGCGTTCTGTGTAGCTTTCAAACTCAGGTAAATTAGAATTTGAACTACCAGTTGTTTTCAAATTTTATCCCCATGATATCGCAACAAAATAATTCGATAGTAAACCTATATATAAATGCATTTCCTGCAAATTGGTTCAAAGGGCATACCCGTGAATCCTTCCGCTGAATCTTGTCTATTTGACGGGCTAGAGACAATCGTTTCATAACCTCTGGCATATAAGAGTTATCTAAAGGAAATCTCTTGACGCTTTCCTGTCAGGCAAAAACAAAGAACATTTGCTAACCATCATCAGTATCTCTAAAATGCAACAACAGAAAAATCTTTCAGTCCCAACCATGGAGGATAACTAAAATTTGCTTTGTGAGTGTTACCTTTGCGAAAGACTTGCACAGAGCCACAAACTTTGAAGTGTCGTTCGGTGCAATCAGAGCGATGCTGCATCCATCCGCAAATGCTCTGGCTGTCCTTCCACTTCTATGCACATAAACCTATCATATAAGGTTAATTGAGTACTCAGAGAGAAAAATAACTAGATAAAAACTGGAATGAATTTTGGCTTACTTCTGCTGAATGTGGAAGTTGATAGTGAATAACAGTCCGGACATTAGAAATATCAAGTCCTCTTGCTGCAACATCCGTTGCTACAAGTATTCCGTTATCACTCGCACGGAAGCGATCAATAGCCTGTGAGAAATAAAGAGGGTAGACAGAAAACATGCCAAGTTACAACATCCAAGCAAAACTAAGTTATGTGGATCATCTTCGACCTTATAGGCGATTAACAATTGTTTGAGCAGTAGTCATCTATAATAACCCAAAAAAAGAAACAAGTCAGCAAAATAACCCAAAATAAAAGATAAACCATATAAAAAGAACATTCAGAGATTCCTATGTAGCAACTTCAAGTATACAGAACAGATTCCTGAACATAGCTTAATGACAGCAACATAGAGGATAAGGTCACTAAAAAGGAAGAAACTTAGCACAGGCATATTGATGTTAGAAAGTCGTACCTTCAACCGAGCTTGCTGTTTCATATCTGAATATAGTTTACAAACATTGAGTCCAAGAATCTGCAAACTCGCACAGATGTGGCGCAGAGCTGCCACTGATGTACAGAAGACTATTGTCCGCCCTTGTCCATGGACACTCAATATGTAATACAAATAAGCATCTTTGTCCTCCTCCCTGGACCTGAATTTATCACGGTAAACCAATAGTAAGGATACCAACATAGAACAATAAACTAAATAATTATCAGCGAATGATAACCAGGCAAGTAAAGTTTTCCTGCAGAGCAAAAGATGAGCTAGATATTTAAACCATTATTTACATAAAAGTCTTGAGCTAAACATGAAACCTATCCATTAAAAGCTTACTTAAACGTGATAGATAATGGGCAGTCATTACAATATGTTCAAATAACCAGGGACGAGCATGATAGATACGAACTAAAGGACATACTCGAGAAAGGATTCTTCAATCTTATGTGCCAGAATAGATGTGGTTGTCAGATCAACAATGGCAACATTATCTCTCATTCCAGCTCGTTCAGATAGGATTTCTATAGAATTCAAACCCTCAGATGTCGACTGCTTTGACTTCAGGGAGCCACGCTTTAACTTCCTACGAAAGTCTGCAGACAGTGCTATGGTAGCTGAGAAGACAAAAGTTTGTCTTTTCTTCCTTTGGACGGTGGAAACAGTAACACAATTCTGAACATTCTGATTCTGCCCCTCAGCCGATCTACTTGTCACTGGAAGCAAGTCTATAATAGACTGCAGCTCACGGAAGTGTCCATTTTCAATCATACGATCAGCCTCATCCAACACGAAAAAAGATAACGAATGCAACTGCCAAAGAGGATCAGGAAAAGGAAAGAAACATTGAGACATGTATGTCTACAAAAGCGAAGATGATTAAATATGCCTCAAACAGTATATATACTTCCAATTCACTGCCTAGTGCCTAACAAAATGATATTGACTATCTAGTAATGCAGAGACAGTTTAATACATGCACAAGCAGTATGACTAAACCAGGAGGGATTAATAGTAGGAAAGAGATCCAAGATTAGATTAAGCAGAGCAATCTACAGACCTACAATTATCATACTGACCTCAACAAGATGCTTTTCTCCGGTCGACATAAGTTCCCATAACCTTCCTGGAGTTCCTACAACTATCTCAGGTTTCGCTCTCAAAAGTCTTTCCTGCTTTGCAGATGACATCCCACCAACAATGGGAACCACCCTGATGCTTAGATCCTTAGCAGCATCCTTAAGATGTTCAGTCACCTGTAAAAAGAAAATGACAGGCATTTTATTTAGGGATTAGCCAAAGCCCATCAACATATGAACTGAGAAGAAAGCATTTCAGAGAAATTGGATAAAGAGGTGACATAATTGGGAACCATGCAGTGTAAAGGATGATTGTCCATAATGAATACCTGAAGAGCAAGTTCTCTAGTTGGAGTGATGATCAGAGCACGTAAATAGCCTTTTGCAGCATATTTCTCTGCATCCTCCCCCTTCTCTGCATATAAATTAGCAACTTTTTCCCTTTCATCCAAAAGGCGCTGGAGTATGGGCAACCCAAAAGCAAGAGTCTTCCCAGACCCTGTCTCTGCAGCACCAATAACATCCTGTGGTATAAAATGAAAATTGCCATGCATCAGCAAAAGATTTCTCATGGATATGAAATTAAGGTGGCTCATTCAACCTTTCCCTGATATGCTGCAACAGGAAAACACGCCTTCTGAATTGGTGTAGGCTCCTTGAATCCGAGGCGGCATATCGATTTCATGAGTAGTGGATGGAGTCTCATTGAATTCCACCCACTATATTCTGGGGGAATCTCCTCCTCATCAATTGGTTCCTCTGTTTGGTTATTCTCACCACTGCTACCTGCTACAAAGTATAATTTGCACTTTTTTTATTATACAGAAAAAATAACAACTATGTTAACCAAACCTCAAAGATAGGACTGAAATACGATCAAGTATATGACAACTTCCATTATACACTACACAAATGAACATGGAAAGAACTTCGATTAACTAAGGATATGAATAAAACAAGCAGAGAGATATTTTTTGGTTCTTAAACAGATCTGGTTCAATGGAATCAAATGCAAAAAAGAACATCATAATAAAAAATTTCTTCACTGAACATTCTGATGACAAAAAATAGATACCAGATCAACAGTGGCACCATTAGCTCTGAACCAGGAACCTTCTGTCTGAAGGTATATTACCTCAAAACCTTAATATCAGAATGTCAACAATTCAAATCGGTCCACTTCATCAATTTCATGTAAATCAACCCTAGTATACCCAAGAAAGCTTTCTGGTATGCCTAACATCTTTCACACGAAACAATATATATATATATATATATATATATATATATGAAGAGGGAGTACAGACAACACTAACCAACAGAACAATCTTGATTCTTTTCTTCCTCCTTAACATTCTTTTGCTTCTTTTTCTTCTTCTTTTTAGTTTTCTTCTCTTTTGTCTTGTTAGTCTCCCCTTTCCTTTCTTCTTCTTCTTCTTGGCTGCCTTCAATTACCTCGCTTGCAGCCTCTTCGTGATCGTCTTCATCGCCACACACTTTGTCTGTCTTCCTTTTATTATTAGGAACAGGTAGAGCGTAATCAGCCTCATCAATCTCTTCAAGCGAAAGGAAACCTGGGAACAATGAATTCAGAATATTATTTTGAGATATATATTCAGTTTTTGGCCCAACCAATAGTGGTTTTTTCTTCAAGTAAAACCCGAAAGTCATGATATTTTTCACAAATTGAAATTACATGAACGAAACAAACTATTGGCAGTAGGAGTACATGAAAAATTAGGATTTCAACTACAAAATTAAGCTGATAAACTCTAATCTCTGCAAGGGCATAAGCGAAAACGGCAGGTAACACAAACTGAAACCTAAAGCCACGAACGTTTAGATCTCTCAACAATATTTTATCAAGAAACAAACCGGAAAATCGAATCAAATTTTACCTCCGTCGAGTTCGCCTGAGCCTACGAAGAGAGAAGAGAAGGCTTCCTCGTCATCGTCTTCTACGATAGGCAGAGAAGCATTCCACGGGAGCGAGTCCATACGTTCGAGCTCCGCCTCGTGTTCGTTTCGCTTTCTATTCTGACTTATCTTCTTCTTCGTCTTCTGGACAATCGACGGCGATTTTCCGGCGGAGGAAGCCATTACATCCGTCGTCTTGAGCTCAGAGGCCATCGAGAGTAGAGAGGGGTTGAAGGGTTTTTATGGGGTGACCGTCCCGTCCGGTAGAATTTCCGGTTCAAAGAACGATAGGGTTTAGGCCTTATAGAAGTGACCCATATAGTATAAACGAGTGATTAGCACTAATTAATTAGCATTAGCTTTAGCTTTGGGCTTTATATTTGGGCTTTAGATTTGGGCTTTTAGAAGTGTCTTATGGAAACAGAGTGATTAGCACTAATTAATTAGCTTTGGGCTTTAGATTTTCAGTTCGAGATTTTGAATTTAATCCTTGAACCCACAATCATCATTACTGCATATATCAAATAAAAATTAGAAAAACCGCGTGAAAAATACACAATTTTGTAAAACTTGCCAAAAAAATTAGACAAAATTTTAATTTAACAAATAAATATATAAAATATATCAAAAAATACAACTCGTGAAATTGAAAACAATTTTTTATTATGATTAAAATATCGATTTTTTCTTTCTGTGTAAACAAATCGTTTTTTTTTTCTGTGTCACCCAATCACACATGATAATATATAATCAGAGCATTTTTTACAGACCAAAACACATTAAACCCTTAAAAATATTAAAAAATTCAGATGAATATACTATTTTAAATGAAAATTCGTATTAAAATTTTGTTTTTTTTAATCGGTTAAATCACCAATCTTGGTGTGTTTTTTTTATCTTTATATGAGTCATGCTTAATATATATTTTTTGTCAAATATATTTTCCTTCCACGAAAAAGTAGTGGTACTTTTTTTCAGACTAAAAGTTAAATACTAATAATAGGGAAATCGGTTTATACAGCATAGAATGAGAGTTAAAAAAATGATTAAAAGTGGCATTTATTCCACGTTTCATAATCAAATAATTTTATGTTATGTCCATTCAAATCGAATGGCTTTGACTACAGGGCACAGACAATTACATTATATTTGTAAAAAGCCCCATCAATTATTTGGAATCTTTGAATTGGCCCACAGAAAATACATATTAACATAACCAACCCCTCTACTTTTTGTATTTACAAATCGTACCCAATTCCCATGTCCCCTGGCCAATCGCCATGTCTGCGACTAGAAAGTTGTCATTTCATCTAATGTGTGTTGTGTTTTTTTAAGGGGTAATCACATAAAAATACCCAAATTTTTATAAAAATTCTAAATAAATATCTGAATTATAAAATTATCATATAAATATCTGAACTTTTTAAAACTCCTACATAAATACCCAGACTTTTAAATTTTTTCCAAATCAAACAAATGCAACTGCTGACTCAACAAAAAACTGCTGACTCAGCAAAAAAACTACTGATTCATCATTCAAAAATATTACTAAATGTCCAAATATTCATCTACATATATTTAAATTAATATATACATATAAATTCACATATATATATATATAAATATATATATATATATATACATTAAAAATAAAATTATTTATAATTAATAAAACACATATACACATAACTACAATATATATCTATATATATATATATCATTACTAATACATATATATTACAATAAAAATAATTATAATTAAATTTATTATTAAAAACAATAATAATGCATAAAATAATTATAATTAAATATATATATTATGTAAATATATTAGTATTTTAAAATAATAATAATGCATTATTATTTTTAATAATTATATTTATTTTTAGTATATATATTACTAATGCATATATATTATTACTAATGCATATATATTAAAATAAAAATAATTATAATTATATATACCTAATAATGCATTATTATTATTTTAAAATACTTATTAAAAATAATAATGCATTATTATTATTTTTATTTTTAGTAATATATATACATATTAATATATATATATATATATATATATTTGTATATATATGTGAATTTATATGTATATATTAATTTAAATATATGTAGATGAATATTTGAATATTTAATAATATTTTTGAATACTGAGTTAGCAGATTTTTGCTGAGTCAGCAATTTTTTTTGCTGATTCAGCAGTTTTTTGCTGAGTCAGCAGTCGCGTTTGTTTGATTTGGAAAAAATTTAAAAGTTTGGATATTTATATGGGAGTTTTGAAAAATTTAGGTATTTATATAATAATTTTATAGTTTGGATATTTATTTGGGATTTTTGTAAAAGTTCGGGTATTTTTATGCGATTAGCCCTATTTTTAAGGAATATAATTGGGTTGAATGTGCGGTTAAGTTAGGAATTATAAAAAAATGAGAATTATTAAACAATTTTGGTAAGGAAAAAAATAGTTTTGGTTATAATAATAGTTGCAACCTTTTATAACTAATTTCACCGATCACATTTGTAATCATCTTTTAATTACTCATAAATTTATTACGGTTTTTACCGATCTTCATTTTCACTCATCACCACCATCTTCCTCCGCTCCTTCCAATTCATTGAACCCTAATATCGCATTTCAAACTCTGTGGAACACAACAGCGGGAAACATCTAAACGGCACCGTTTCTTTCTACGGCGACAAATGTCCGGTAGCCGTCGGATCCGCGGCGAGGGAAACTGCAGCAGCAGCAGCAGCAGCAGCAGCGCGAGGAGAGGGAGAAGAAGAGGCTGCAAGAGGAAGACGAAGAGAAAAGGAAGACGGTGGAGAAGCAGCAGCGTCAGATGAAGTCGCCGGTTCAGGAGTTGACTCGAACTCCGGCGACGAAGGCGGTGGCGGTGGCGGCGGAGAAGGATAAGAAGACAGCCGCGTCGCCTGTCTCGTCGGATTGCTCTGTGTCGGGTCGGGTCGCGAGCGACGATTCATCGAATTTGGGTCGGTTTTTGGAGTATACCACTCCCATTGTTCCTGCGCAGTACTTGCCTAAGGTAATACCCCATTTTCAAATTATACAGAATCTGCGGAATGGGTTTGTACGTTATTGAAGTCTAAGTGAATCGGGGCAATCTATAGAGCCCTAGTTGTCTAAGAATCGGTGTTTTTCCATGTTGTTTTCGTCTGCATTGGCCATTGAATCAGTTGAAGATTATTCTCTGGGCTCTCGTACAATGGCTAAATCGAAGCGATAGAAAAAGTTGGATTTTTTTAATGTTCCGTATATGTTGATTGTCTCATTAGTGAAATCGAAGTTCAGTTTCAGAATTTAGATATTTAAGCAGCATCTGAGGTGAGTATAATAAGCAAATATTATATTTCCAGTGTTTTGTGCATAACATTCTTCTCTTGTGTGCATCTGAGGTGCTACTGCTGTATTCACTCATAGTTTCTGGTTTTTTCTCAGACCAGCGTCAATGGGTGGAGAAGACGTGAATCAGATCGGCATCCCTTCTTCTTGCTGAATGATTTGTGGGATTCCTTTGAGGAGTGGAGCGCATATGGTGTTGGGGTTCCTCTTCTCTTAAATGGGGGCGATTCTGTTGTTCAGTACTACGTTCCTTATCTATCTGGAATTCAGCTCTATGTAGACCCATCCAGAATTGGTGCAAGGCCAAGGTGAGCGTTTTTACGTTTTTGCTTGTTGTATTTGTTTGGTATCGACCGTTAGTGGAATCATTTTAGGTCTTGCCATCGAACAGTGAAGGAGAAAACCAAAGGTTAACTGTCTGAACAATATTTTCTTGGTAATTTTCACATTATAGGATTTGAGATTGAGTCCTCGTTAGCGTGATATAGTTGGGAAGTTCTGATTCTTTGGATGTCCATTATCATGTTATGTTAGATAAACCGAGGCCTAGCCGTTTTGTGTTACCTTTCCCAAGATATCATGATACAGATCATGAGAATAGAAGAATCTCATGCTGTCAACCTTACTATGCTGTCGGCATTATTCAGATTACCAAAACACTGAGCCTCTTGCTATATGTATGGGTTGTTGACCATATGTTTAGCAACATCATAGACTCAATTCAAAGCTTAGATCAAGAAGTCAGTTTCTATGTTGAGTTGTTGACTCTCTGAATGATTGTGTCTTGGGTGGCCTGAATGGAACTGGTGTAGGAGAATAGGGACAGGTATTGTGATATAATAGAGTTATTTTGTACTGTACTCTGATTTTAATTCGCGTTCCAGAACGGTTCAACGAATTGGTTGCTCTCTGCCATCACATTCATGTTGTATTTGTCTGTGTTTCTCTTATTCTCAATTAACTCTTTTTACCTTCTGTTTATTGTTCCCAAGCATGAGAGCTGGGGACGATAGCGATGCTGATTCGCCAAGGGACTCAGGCAGTGATGAAAGCACTAACTGTCGAAACATTGTTCAGAGTTTAAATGGAATCTCCTTGGAAGACAAATCTTTTGTCATTTCATCCAGCAGCAAGAGCAAGATCGGCATTAATTCTTCCAGCAGCCTTGCCTTTGAGTACCTTGAGCACGACTTGCCATTTGGCCGTGAACCATTGGCTGAGAAGGCAAGTCATATATTCCTCTACCTTTGAACTGATATAACTTTGAACTAATAAACCTTTACATTTAGCTGTAGTTCCCTGATTGTTTGCATGGGGAAATCCTTCCGATAAACATGTGACTTCTTGTCTTGATAGTATTTTCACGGGAAACAACCTTCTTAGTCCTTTTTTCTTTTAAACTAGGCCTGTGTGGATGTATATGTAGAGGGTTTTTAGTTTCATACTTGTAGATTAATTAAAATTTTATGTAACTTATTAATGGCTTATTCCTGCCAACCCAAAAAACTGTTTCTCACAGATTCTCGCATTCTCTTACAAATAACATGATGTTAACCATTAATGATCTTCGAAAAGTTAATATTTCGTATACTATTTCGGTTATATTGTATTAACTTTATATATGGTGAAAGACTAATAATTTTGCCATTTGGCATGCAGATCTCTAGCCTTTCATCAAGGTTTCCAGGTCTCAGAACGTACCGAAGCTGTGATCTATTGCCTTTGAGTTGGGTCTCTATTGCTTGGTAGTGCTTCAAAAGTGTCCTCTTACAGCTAAATTATTGTTTTTTTCTTCAGGTCTGTTCTCTGCATGAATCATCCTAAGATCTTAAGATTTTTCCCCAACTTTTCACGTCCCATAGGTACCCGATATATCGGATACCACTTGGTCAGACACTACAAAATCTCGACGCTTGCTTTTTGACATTTCACCTCCTCTCGACTCCCTTTGAAGGTAAAAAAAAAAAAACCGTTTTAAAAATTTTGAGGTAGATCACTCCTTAATACTCTATGATCTTGCCATGGCAGGCTCAAGAAACTCGAGTACCGTTGTGGGGCCATCAAAGATGTCGCTGCCCACCTTCGGCCTGGCTTCCTACAAGTTCAAAGCCTCGATGTGGGGCCCAGACGGTGAAGATGCTGTCCGGAAAGAGCACCAGAGAGTGGACACACTGCTACGAGCAGCAGAGGAGTGGCTGAGGCAGTTGCAGGTTATTCTTCCTGACTTCAGATTCTTCGCCTCCCATAATACTTTGCCCTCGAGATAACATATAATCATCTCCTGGGTTCCGAGCTAATAATATACAGCGGCTGTTGTGAACTATAATATAGGTCATGGAGGTTTGAATTTTTTTTTGTTTTGTTTGGTGGCCTTTTCCCTGTGGCTGAATAAGTAAGAGAGAAAATTAGAGTGTGTTTTCAAGTTACCTGTACAGAAAGTAGTTACTTTGTTTTTACACATGAAGGTGTTATAGAAACATTGGTCAAAGATGTTTCATAGAATGTCTTGTGATCTTCCCATGTAAAAACATTGGTCAAAGTTATTTTGTTATTTGTTTGTGTTAGATCTAGTTGAAAAAAAATAAATGTATTGGATGGAGAATTAACAAGCTCTCGTAGCTCAGTTGGTTAGAGCACCCGTTTAGTAAGCGGGAGGTCTTGAGTTCGACTCTCAACGAGAGCACATTTCAAACTTCTCAATTCTTTTTTTACATTTGTACTGTATTTTCAAAGAACCAAAAACATGGTTCCAGTACTTTTGTTGTTGGTTTAGTATTTGATTGCTATTTGCTACATAATACAGCCTCTAACCAGGAGAAAAAAAAAAAAAAAAAAAAACACACACACAATGGTCTGTTCATCTTTTTGTATAATAAATAATACATAATACATTTAGCCGAATAACACAAAAAATCACTACACAAGCAGTTGTAGCTCTCTATGACAACATCTTTTAGTAATTCCCCAATCCACTAATCTCCTTCCGGACATTGCAAAACCTGCCAGCTTTTATCAATTCATATATCATTTTGGTTAGAGCCACACAAAAAAAAAAAAACATTTCTGCGCGCCTATAACCGCAGAGCCAAGAAAGACAAAACCAGAACAAGGAAGGAGATGTGGTGTCTTCGGTGGCTGTTGCTCATCGGAAGTACAGTCGGAAGTGAGCATTCCTCCCCATTGAAGAACACTTTGGCCGGGAATCCATCCCCAGCTCTGACGTTGATCCCGGGACTCAGTTTCTTGGTGAATGATATAACCGACTGCTGTTTCCCGGGTACCCGAGCATCCACCCTCTGATCGTTCCCGTCTCTTTCCGCCACGAGATAGTTCAATCCCGGGAGACCCACCATGAAAATAGTATCGTTATTGTTCGCCCCGTCCATGCTGAGGGCGGTCCCGTTGAACGAGTAGGCCTTCTCGAAACCCAGGGCGGTCGTTTTCTTCATCTGGACCGCAGCAAACCAGTCGGCAAAGTCAGTTTCCCCCCAGTTGAAGATCGTGACCCGCGCTGTCCACCCGCCTCGATAGTCCGTTGCCAAATGCCAATTCATGCTGACTCCGCAGTTATCGCCGCAAGGCAGGGGGGTTGGAACTTGCCGCCGTTTCAAGTCCGCCCAAGCCAGGGAGAGAGTGGTTCGGTTCTCGAAAGGAACCAAAAGGGCCTCGGGTGGAAGAAGGATAGCTGGAGCTGTTGTGCTGCAAGTTTGATGATTTGCTGCTGCCCGGCTGCTGGAACAGCCGCAAGCGCAGGTTTTGCACGGAATGATCGAGTCGTTGAAGTATGCAGAGAACGAGACACAGCATCTTGGGCTAACAGCCTTTGGTTGGGTGATGTTGCAGACTACCTGCCAGCTCGAAAACGCTGTCCGGTTCGAGGGCAAGCCGCTAGGATCGGGGAACTGACTCAGGCTGACTCGAACAGGAGGACCGCACTGGTAATCCGGGTTCAGCGTACCATTGATCCGCCAGTTCTGAGGCGGAGATAGTGCAGAGATGTTGAGATCGGGTGGCATTTTATACACCTGCATCTGGAAAACCGAACTAGACTTGCTAGGATCCATTACCCGTGGAAGAATCGTCCCGTTTCTGCAGCACGAAGGGATAAGGCCGAAGGTAGAATCGTTATACTTTGTGAGAGGGAGGTCTATGATGGTCGGCCGGCTCGCACAGCTCAAGACATTGGAAAAGTCGAGGTCTTGGTAGTATTTTGCCTGCGGGCCGTCAATGCAGTCTGACGAATCGACAAGAGAAGGGTAAGCCCCTTTCATGGTGTAGATGAACTCATCCCTCATCCAGTCGAAACTTAGTTTCCAGTTGTCCAACCGGCCAAGCGGGCTATGGTTCTCGATCGTGACCTGCGCCCAGTAATTCGATGAATACGATCTGATCACATCGTACATTATGGTGAGATCCCCCTCTTGCCGGGGAAGGAATTCTTCGTCGATGATTTCAGTTTTGAAGTCCGGATCTGGCTTGCAGCAAACTTGTAGAATGCTCTTACCTGGAAAGACAAAAGCCGAGAGAATGGAAGATTCAGACCACAACCAAACTGCTATTTTCCCGCGAGGTTAGAAATCTGACAAGAATTCATATGATAAGACCGGTCCAAACGAAGAATTAACAAGAAGAACAAGTCAATATCCTTTGATCCAAATGAACAATGCGTTGAAATCTGGTCAATTCTCTCATAAAAGCTCCAAGCTTCAGAGCTACTTAGATTCCTTTGCGCTATCAGATTCCTAGATTCATTCAGAAAAACCGATCGAGAATTCCCCCATGCGGCTAAAGGTCCAATCTGAAACCACGAAATGACTACACTACTAGGGTTCATCATCGATCCTTCACCGTAGAAATAGACGAAACCCAGATCCTAGAAATTATTCTAGAGAATGCAAGACAGAATCGAGCCAGAAAATCTGGAAATACAGACAATTTACCTTGCTGAGAGGCCTTGGGACAAACCCAACCATCATTAGCAAGAGTGATGTTATTGGGAAGGGGAACACTCGGGGGAGCGACTCCAAACTGCGTCCCGACAAGCTCGACGCGGGTTTGGGTCTGGGTGACGTCACCCGCTGTCTCGATCGCCGTCTTGAGATCGGTCATCGGATATCCGGCGAAAACGGTGCCGTTTCCGACGCCCATCGGGAGGCTCGAGCCGTCGGCGAGAACGGCGTTGGACGCGGACACCAGGATCTCGCGGTGGGCGAATCCGACGAAGACCCGCCATGACTTGAGCTTGTCTCGGCCATTGTTGAGCACCGTGAGCACGGATTCGAACCTGTAAGGCTGGTTTCTTGAGTCGCTCGGTGGAATCTTAGACCCCTTCACATAAGCGTACGACACGAACACCCCATTGCACAGATCCGACGGAGACGCGGCGGCGCCAGACTGAGAAGCGGCGAGGGGTATCATCGTGAATAGAAGCAGTAGGATCCATGGAATGAACTTCGAACCAAAACCCATGAACCCTAGATATCTTGTGCGTAAACCCTCTTCCGTATTTCGGATTACAGGCAGTACAAAATCGAAAAAAATTTAAAGACAGAACAACCGCGTCTCGAGCGCAGAAGAACAGCAGAGTGGAAGCTGTAATGAAATGTATGTGTTCCAAATCAAATCCTCCGGGCCAAGGTTTTTCACTTTCTTTCTTTTAAAAAAAATATATTTTTCTATTTGAAATTAGAAAACAACACAAAAAAAAATATTTGAACGCGAGAAGAGGAGAAAGCTCCTTCCCGTTAGAGACGAAATGCGGGGCCCACTCACATGAGTATGGAATAATAATTATATAATGTTACTTGTGGGCTGAGTTATATACATTAAGGCCCGATAAAATTATAAAAAGTAGGTCATAAAAACGTCAGACTCAAGCCCATAAAAAGCCCATTCATTTTCATTTATTATTATTATTATTATTATTATTATTATTATTATTATTATTATTATTATTATTATAAAGTTCAAACTCATAACAATTATCCTGTAAATAATTTCGACATGGATAATCATATGCTGACTCAATAAATTAATATCACCTCATCTGTACATCTGATAACCAGTATAGGTGTCCTTCGTATTTACTTTCTATCTTAAAATATTATTTTTCTTAGTGGTGTTTTTACTAAATTTGGATGGATTATGTCTTAATTTTTTTTTCAAAATCTACAAATCTAATATTGGATACAAAATCTGATATCTTTTAAGGAAAAGAGAATATAAAAATAATTTATAAGTGTTCAACACAGTTAAAAATATTTGAAAATTATATGACTATATTGATTTTATATATCTATATATTCAGATTATGTTTTTAAACAAAAAATTATACAATTTCGGATATTTAATTCCAAGTGCGTATCTCAACAGTATTCGTCTGTTATTTGTACCCATCCGAAATCTTGATATTGTGATTTTTTTGGATATAAGTTAGATTTTATATTTACCTTTATGGACCCACGGACACGCAATATTATCCGTTTTCTTGAACCGCGTTACCTTTTACACGTGGAATTAATCTAAATGAAATTAATTAACAACTTAATCAGGGTCTTATTAACTTATTAAATAGATAGTGAACAAAATCAAAACCTGATAAGATAAACCCCCACGTAATTGGAGAATTAGGTCGTCTTCTCCTCCACGGCAACCATTTCCCGTAGCGATCGCCGGAGATAATGAGGATCGAAGGGAACGACGGCGTACTTGCCTCCAGCAGGCACCTCGTCTTCGCTTACTACGTCACCGGGCATGGCTTCGGCCACGCCACTCGCGTCGTCGAGGTATACAGCAGCTCTTCTTGGTTCTTGCTTCCCATTTCGTCTTCGATTGTTTGTTTTCGTGTTTTTGATCGAACCGGTTCATTGTTTTTTGGTTTCTTTCGTTGTTCTTTTGTTTTCTTGTCGTGTTAAAGGTTGTCCGTCACCTGATCGCGGTGGGGCACGATGTTCATGTCGTCACCGGTGCGCCTGATTTCGTCTTCACTTCAGAAATTCAGTCGCCGAGGCTCTTTATTCGCAAGGTTTCTGGACTTTCTATGTTCTGTTCTACCATGGTTACTTGTTTCTTTTTATTTTTTGTCCCTATATCGGCGAGAATTGCGGAATGATGAGGTGGTTCTGTTGTTGTTTGGTCATGAATTTAGGTTCTTTTGGACTGTGGGGCTGTTCAGGCAGATGCATTGACGGTCGATCGTCTTGCCTCTTTAGAGAAGGTTTACTTTTCTGATCAACCCAGTGGACCCTTTTGTTCCTGTTGTAGTTTCCTATTTAGTATGTCTTCGGTTCCTTTAACGTTGGCAGCTTATCTGTTGCGGTTATGTGTTAGTATGTGGAGACAGCTGTGGTTCCTCGAGCTTCAATATTGAAAACAGAAGTGGAATGGCTTCATTCCATCAAAGCCGACTTAGTGGTAGTCTTTTAATTCGTTTTTTTCTTTATCTGATGTTCCTATTGTTCATAGTCATGCAGGCTAAATGCAAACGTAAGACTTGTTTTAAAACAGGTGTCTGATGTTGTGCCTGTCGCATGCCGTGCAGCAGCGGATGCTGGGATACGTTCTGTTTGTGTCACAAATTTCAGGTGGGATCTCCATGTTCTTCTCTTCTCCCAGTATCTTAGTTGGCCTGAAATCTTCCTCTGGTTAATCTTCATTACATTATTTTACTGTAACTAGAGTAACCAGCCCCATGATTTATTTTAGACGAAATGTGATTATCAGGGGTCATTACAAGGAAGTAAAAGGTACCCTGAATCAATAAACTTGGTCATCAACTTACATTTCCCTATACTATTTCAGCTGGGACTTTATCTATGCTGAGTATGTTATGGCGGCTGGATATCACCATCGTTCCATAGTCTGGCAGGTGATTTCTTCTGTAGAAGCTGCTACTGTTATTTGTATAACATCTCAAATCCCATTACTTATTTGCGATTGCCAGTTTATGTGTGATTCATGCTGAAGTTCCTTAGTTTGTTTCATTCCTTTGCCCTCATATAGATTGCTGAGGATTATTCTCACTGCGAGTTCCTAATCCGCCTCCCAGGATACTGCCCAAGTATGCGACTCTTTGAACTATTTTTAAGATTTGCTTTCATCTTGTTTGTATTTGCTCCCATGCCAGTATACCTGCTGCACTTGTTCCCTTACCTTTATTTCTTTTATCTTGCAGTGCCTGCTTTTCGTGATGTCATTGACGTACCATTAGTCGTGAGGAGATTACATAAATCTCGAAAGGAGGTTTGACAGTGAAACTTCACTTGTATTTTGTTGCGTGAATACTCCAGGTAACATCTCTTGTTTCCTCTCATTCCAGGTGAGGAAGGAACTTGGAATTGATGAAGATGTGAAGGTTGTGATACTCAATTTTGGTGGACAGGTCTGGCTGTTTGTTCTTTGGTTTTATGGTCTCGCGTTTGCACATACTTCATTTGCTTTATTTCTCCTATTTATATCCCATCTGTTTAACATCGTTTCTCAATGAATAGGTTATGCATTTCATGTTTTGTTTTACCTTATCAATGCTTCTGTCATTTCCATACATCTACTTATTTTGGACTACCCGCATTAGCTCATCTTAATCGCAGCTAAAGTCTTTTTCTACTGCAGCCCTCAGGCTGGAAGTTGAAGGAAGAATACCTACCTCCTGGCTGGCTGTGTCTGGTATCTTTTTTCGCTTTTCCTTTCATTGTGATGTGTATATTTTCTCTTATATTGCCGATTGTATGCTGTTGGCCGAACTTATTGCCTGTTGTCCAGGTTTGTGGCGCTTCTGAGAGCCAAGAGCTTCCACCAAATTTTATGAAGCTTGCTAAGGATGCCTATACACCTGATCTTATAGCTGCATCCGACTGTATGCTGGGTCAGTGTAAGATGATTAACAAGTGGTGAATATTGCTAGTGAAGATATTAAATAGCTGTTTCCATTATTTCAGGGAAAATTGGTTATGGCACAGTCAGCGAAGCCTTATCATACAAGTTACCTTTTGTCTTTGTGCGGAGAGATTATTTCAATGAAGAACCTTTCCTGAGAAATATGCTTGAGGTTCAATCAGTCGTTCATTCCATATCGACTTTGTTTTCCTTAATTACCTCATGTCTTTCAGGGTATTTTTCCCTCTGAATTTTGGATTGCATATTGAAGTTTTCAAATTGCTGGCCAGTTTTATCAATGTGGTGTTGAGATGATCAGGAGAGACCTGTTAATGGGCCATTGGGAACCATATCTTGAGCGTGCAATTAGCTTGAAACCATGCTACGAGGGTGGCACCAATGGTGGTGAGGTAGCTCTTCGCTCTTGCCTTCTTTCTTTTATTGTTCGAATTTAGTTGTAAGATTCTGGGGCTGAAGTCTAAAGTTTATACTGTTATACTGTGAGTTCAAAAATAGGTGGCAGCTCACATCTTACAGGAGACAGCCATTGGAAGGCATTGTGCATCAGACAAGGTAAATTTGGCATCTAAACGCTGTGCAGTTTAACATGTAATCTTGAAATATTATGATATCTCATCTTGAATATTGTGAAGGCTGAAACAGGAATCTGTTGTCTGTGGGATCTGCTTGCTATTTAGTGAAATACTATTAGTTGATGGAGGCAAAACATCTAAGATTGTTATTTGTTATGAATCTTCTTAAAAGGAAAGTTCTATTGAAATTAATTGTTACTTTGTTCAACGTCTCATTCCCCAATTCAAATTTCTGAGTTTGGTATTTCTGTGTGTTACAGCTTAGTGGAGCAAGAAGACTACGTGATGCCATAGTTCTGGGGTATCAGCTACAGAGGGTCCCTGGGAGGGACATCGCTATCCCTGAGTGGTATGCAAGGGCAGAAAATGAACTAGGTCAGGCTGCTGGATCGCCAACTGCGCGAGCAAGTGAAAACAACTCGACAATGGAACCGTAAGTTCTATATTTCTAAAAATTTTCTTTGATCTGGCTGTTGAGAGAGAATGAGTGGTGCTTCTGTGTTATTTATTTTTGCATTATTTCCTGCAGGTGCATCGAGGACTTTGATATCCTGCATGGTGACATTCAAGGCCTTCCAGACACATGGAGTTTTCTGAAGAGCTTAGCAGAGCTCGATGCTATTCACCACTCCACAAAGAGTACAGAAAAGCGAACAATGCGTGAGCAAAAGGCTGCTGCCGGACTCTTCAATTGGGAGGTAACAGATTTCCTCTCATCTTTTCCTAGCTCAAAGGAAAAAAAATGAGTGTTTTTGGTTATGTCCATTGCCTAATTAAATGTTTTGGTTGTTAATGTTCTGGGATGCTGAATATTAGATTTCTAGAGGTTAATAAGAAAAAATATATATGTGCTTCTGCAGGAAGAAATTTTTGTTGCCAGAGCACCGGGAAGGTTAGATGTGATGGGTGGGATTGCTGACTATTCAGGAAGCCTTGTTTTGCAGGTCAAAATTTTCTATTTCTGGTTTTGGTGTTTTCACTTGTTTTCGATATCATTACTATTCCATTCAATATATCTTCCAAAATGGAGTATAAATTTTCTATATCCAATTCATGGAGCATCTATTTTAGGGACCCTGAAATTATGAACTCCTTTATCTAAAAAGTCTTTCCATCCTATGGTTTATGTTATGATCTTAAGCCAGTTCTGAGCAAAATCAGATTTTCATGTCAGTTCAGTTCCTCCAGACCGACCAGAGTACGTGTATTCTGTTTGATGTCTCCGGATTCCTTACTTATAACCCCATACTTTCAGATGCCAATAAGAGAAGCTTGCCATGTAGCTGTTCAGAGAAACCACCCTAGCAAACATAGGCTGTGGAAACATACACAGGCACGGCAGCATGCTAAAGAACAGGGGTCAACACCTGTTCTGCAAATAGTAAGAGTATTTTGATGAGTTCTTACAAACATTAAAAAATTCTTCATTCCACAATAAGGATCGTCCTAGCTGAAGCTGCCCTGATGGCCGACCTGTGATTTAGGTATCATATGGATCAGAGCTAAGCAATCGTGCACCTACTTTTGACATGAACTTGTCTGATTTCATGGTTGGGGATAAACCAATTTCATATGAAAATGCTAGGAAATACTTTGCTCAGGATCCAGCCCAGAAGTGAGTCTTTCCCTTTTATTTGAATTGCCACATTAAGTAGATCTTGAAGGAACTTTTTTGGAGACAAACTTGTTATTCGATAACAAGGTGATAACATTTTCCAGGTGGGCAGCCTATATTGCTGGGACCATTTTGGTATTGATGACTGAACTGGGTGTGCATTTCAAGGATAGCATCAGCATTTTGGTACAAGTTCCTTTCTGTTTTTGTTAGAATTTATCTTGTGCAGAATACATCATGATTCAATTATTTGTTTCTTTGCTACTATATACGTTACATAACCTTGTAATTTCTTGTCGGTTTGTTCATTGATATATTACACAAACAGTTTCGGATGAACTACACTCAAAAATGAAAATGTTGAGATGGTACACTTTCACATTTATGATCCTCTATTAGGAAAGGAAGTTTAATATTCTAAAATGAAGATAAAGAATCGTGCAAGATGAGTTTGATGACTTCAGCTGTTACTACTATTGAGATCTTTTCATGATTTATGATTTTCTTTCTTATTGATATTCTTAAACCTGGCTGCACCATTAAGTGCTGATGCTTTGCGTGTAAGAAGAAAGTAAAAGCTGGATTCCTTGTTTTAATGATTATATGCGCCTTTAGGTTTCTTCTGCGGTACCTGAAGGTAAAGGTGTATCCTCTTCTGCTGCTGTGGAGGTCGCGAGCATGTCTGCAATAGCTGCAGCCCATGGTAATACATTCCGTATCTGGAATCTTCAAAAACATATTAATGCATGAAGATAGACTTCGCGCCGGTAAAAGAAGCTAAATAATCGTTACTATCAGCCCCAACAGCGAGCATGTCTGCATATAAGAACCAATAGTCAACTGAGATGAATAAATAATTTCATTAGAGAAAACTTAAATTTCAATTTTGGGAACTTTAGTTTGATGATTCACTCAATTCCGTAGTATAAATGTGCAGGACTGACTATCAGCCCCAGAGACCTTGCTCTGCTATGCCAAAAGGTTTCATGTTCAGGGTTATATTTGCCCCTTTTTCCTACTCTGTGCAATGCATTTGTTTATTGATTCTTGTTAGTTGTCTTCTAGGTGGAGAATCACATTGTTGGGGCTCCATGTGGTGTTATGGATCAGATGACTTCGGCTTGTGGAGAGGCCAACAAATTGTTGGCCATGATCTGCCAGGTAGGTCTTACAGTAATAAACAGTTTGTGCAGATTCCAACCTAGCAAATTATTCGTATGAAAGAACAAGCTGACTTTGGAAATGATGTATAGTTAATGTCTTCCTCTTTTTTCTTGTTTTTACTTTTGTAGCCTGCGGAGGTCGTTGGGCTTGTTGAAATTCCCAACCACATCAGGTTTTGGGGTATTGATTCTGGAATTCGGCACAGGTAAATTGTCTTTCTCATCAATATTAGTTTCTATTTTCTTTTTGATTGACCATGCCCTTTAGTGATATACTTAATACAATTCTTACTTAACAGAAATGTACTGGGCTGAACTTTTTCCCCAACTTATTGGAAGATCTATAGTCGATTTTATATGTTCGTACTTTTTTTCGTCCTCAGAATCAAAGCATCTTTTCTGAAATAATTAACCTTCTGCCGCCAGTGTTGGAGGTGCGGATTATAGGTCCGTTAGAGTCGGTGCCTTTATGGGCCGGAAGATGATAAAATCCATAGCATCCACCATGTTGTCTCAATCGGCGGCAAGTGCTAATGGAGTGAGCCCAGATGAATTAGAGGACGAGGGCGTTGAATTACTCGAGGCTGAATCTTCATTAGATTACTTGTGCAATCTGTCGCCCCACAGGTGAGTACATAAGTGGTGAATCATTACCTGACATACAGGATCCATTTGAATTGGTTTGATGTTTTTCAGATGTTGACCTTGTGAAAGAATTTCAAAGATAAAGATTCTTGCAATTTATTCCAGCAGTGTTTGCTAAGTGATTGCATCGCTCTGGTGCAGATATGAAGCCATTTATGCAGATATGCTTCCTGATTCAATGCTGGGCGAGACATTCATTGAAAAATACTCTAATCATGATGATCCGGTCACTTTGATAGATCAAAAGCGTTCTTACAGCGTTAGAGCGCCCGCTAGACATCCTATATATGAAAACTTCCGGGTCAAGGTCTGTCTTTGGAAACTATCATTGGAACATATATCATTGGCTGCTTATTTTCCAAGATAACTTTCCCAGCAGGAAGACAGATATTTGAAAACTATCTTTTAATGTGAATGCTTGTGAAATGTTTCTTCTCTAGGCTTTCAAAGCGCTTCTGACTTCTGCAACCTCAGAAGAGCAACTTACAGCACTTGGGGAATTACTTTATCAGGTATTTTGGTGACCTTTTATTCATTGATGAAGCTCTTCTAGTCCTAATGAGAAGAAATCAAGCAGGAGATTGTTATGAAGGGTCGGGTGTTGATATGGGCCATACGGCATTTTTCTAGATTTGCAAAATCCAGTGCCTAATCCCGGTATATATACTGTATAGAGATGCCTTATTGAGCTTTTAGAAAACCAAGGGACAAAACCATGTAGACTTTTTGAGTCGTGAAGCAAGTAAACATGCTCATCTTGGTGTCGTTTCTCTCGGATGTGGTTGCAGTGTCATTATAGCTACAGCGCATGTGGACTCGGGTCAGATGGCACGAATAGGCTTGTCCAGTTGGTGCAAGGAATGCAACATAACAAGTCCAAGTCTGAAGATGGAAACCTTTATGGAGCCAAAATCACAGGTGGCGGTTCTGGTGGAACAGTCTGTGTCATCGGTCGGAACACATTGTGCAGCAGCCGACAAATTCTCGAGGTAGTTACACTTTTAGATATGACATGCCATACCGAAAAATGTAGAATATATTGAAGTCTAAAACGTGAACGTTCAGATTCAGCAGAGGTACAAAGCAGCGACTGGCTATTTGGCTCTCATTTTCGAGGGTTCATCACCTGGTGCCGGCAAGTTTGGTCACTTGCGTATCCGACGTCGTTTCTCCTCCCCCTGATCCCTCTCCCTCCCTCTCCAGGTCTCTCTCTCTCTCTCTCTCTCTCTCTCTCTCTCTCTCTCTCTCTATATATATATATATATATATATATATATATATGGTTTCCCCCCATATTTGTCTCTAGATTATAAAAGCGTTTATTTGTATTTTTTAGATTCCCACGTTCAGAGTAGAATAAAAATCCGTCCACCTCTGTCGTGAAACAGACATCTTCTGAAAGGTTCATTTGTGAGTCTGTGACATCTATTCAACCAATCATAATATATATATATATATATATGGATGTTTATATGATAGATATGTATATGTATGTAGACACGTGTAACATAATGATGATGTCTTGACTCTTGAGAAAGATGTATTAGAGGGTATTATTACTCCTGAGGAATGTCTTCAATACTTATACACATATATACATATACATGTAAATGTGTAAAAATGCGAAGGTGTACAAGCATACGTGTTTACACATGTATATACGTGTAACTATGTCAACTGCGTTGCTGTGTATATGTATAGTTTACAAGATATCTTATTCCTCATTAATTATGACAATTCAATATCAGCAGCGTAGTTGACATTTCATAGTTGAAAAAACATCAATATTATATATATATATATATATATATATATATATATATATATTGCGTGTAAACAAAAGCAACTCGAATAGAATTAAAGCATAGATCCGCAGGGAGATAAGGAAAATTACTTGTGGCCAAAAGAGAGGGCAACGAATCCATTATCCGGTTGATCATTCCCAGTAAGTAAATAAAAAAAAATGGATGAGACCAAAAACGACAAAAGAGTGTCGGTGGTGGGATCGGAATTCATTCGATCTGAGCCGTTGGATCTGATGGTCGAGGGAGACACAGTGACGGACATGGACGGAAACAAGATGTTCAAAGTCAAAACGCCTCTCTTCGGTCTCCACAACAGGAGGGTTCTGTCCCATCCGACTGGTGAATCCCCCATTGCCACCATGAAAATGAAGGTTAGTTTTATTTTGAAAACATTTCAATTCATTTACAAGGAGATGGTTAATTCATCGATATTTTTGAGTCATAATTTATAAACCAATACAAAAAGTGATGCCCTTTGGGTTCAATTTGGGTTTGATCAAATATTTTCATAGTTTTGGACCGACATATCTCTTATGTATTGTTAAATAAACACACAGGTGACAAGCAAACACGACAGGTGGTTAGTTTTCAGAGGGAACAGTGCGGAGGATCTGATATTCACTGCCAAAAGATCTTCAACGCTTCAACTGAAGACAAAAGTCGAAGTGTTCTTGAAACAAAATCCAGCCGGAGCGGAAGGATCTTGTGATTTTACAATTAAAGGTCGATTCATGAAACGTGCCTCTATCATTTGTGCTGGAGATTCAGAGAGAACCATCGCTCAGGTATATATGTATATATATACTAGTACAGATTAAACACACCATGGAAAAATGTTTTATATATTCATTCACAATATTTATACCTTTTTTAATTTGTGTGGTTTGTCATTTAATTTGTGAACAATGGAATTGCAGGTTCACGAAGCAGACCACAAATTGCTTGTGACTGTTTATCCCAACGTGGATTACGCTTTTATTGTCACCCTTGTTCTTGTTTTCGATCTCATCAATACGTCTGGATCCAACCAATTCCATTGACAAATTATGATTCCAAAGGTATATATAATTAATATGATTACTATATACGTACGTACATAATGGTACTATACATGTTTGTAACAATCTCGTGTTTATTATCATGTACGCATGTTACATAATGATACTATGTATATACTATATATATATTCCGCCATTAATGCAAGCACGTCTATGTACTCGTGTGTAATTCAACATTGTTACACGAGAGAGAGAGAGAGAGAGAGAGAGAAGAAAAAAAACGGCGATAAGTGTCTGCTTACTTTATTGAAACGACAAACATTTCATGAACCAGTAGGTAAAATGTGCATTCGAGGGAAACATGAAACACGTACACGCATTCTCACGCCATGCCCAATCTTTTTAATGAACATAAAAGCTCTAATCTGCCTGCAAAATAAGAATAAAATAAAATAAAAAAAGTATAATTCCAAGGAATTTTAAAAACCCACCAATTAAATGAATATATACGGATTATAGTTTGTCGATTAACTTACAAGATTTTCCTGCCCAGAAGTACACGTGGGTCTTCTAGGGGGGAGCTGATGGTGAGGTGTTCTCTGGAAAATATTAATTAATATTAAAAACACATTGATTAGGTAATAAATAAATATATTATTATAAAAAAAATAGAAAATTACCTGAAAAATTTTTAATTTGGTGTAATATTAATTTCTGAGATGTGTTTATTTATTTTCAAACTTGTATTTAAAACAGTAATTTCTAAACTTACTTTCCATAATCGTCTATACCACTAATTGACCAAATCAAAGTTTAAAAATTATTTTGTTCAAAAATACAAGTTTAGGAATTATTGTGTTAAAAAAATGTAAGTTTAGAAATTAATATGATACCAAATTACAAATTCAGAAATTTTCACGGATTTTTTCCTAAAAACATGTAATAATTATTTTAAAGTGGGTTGCATTACCTTTAATTTTGGTCTTAGTTTCTCAATCGGTACAGTTGTTCTCTGATTCACGCTTGCTCCTTGCTGTGGTTTCCTCATTTTAATCGAACGAAAAATTTAAATTAGTTAAAAAAAAAAAATTGGCGAGACAGATTTTTGAGTTTCTAATCCATATCCATATAATATATGCAAAAAAAAAAGAAGATAATACCTTGTATAATGCCCAATCCGCCGAATCAAAAAATGCACGTTTATGATCCTGCGTGCATCAATTTCATATATATATATATATATGTATTTATATAATACACAGAATTTGAGCTTCTTAATATATATATATATATATATATATATAAAAGTAGATGGGGCAGTCACCTTGGAAATTAGTGGCTTTTTCTTGGGCACAATTCCTCCGTATTTATTTGCAGCAGCAACAGATGACTATAAACAGTAAAAAAAAGAGCAAAAGGAAAAAGAAAATCTCGGATTATGTAAATTGATGTGGAATTAAGGTGAATGAGACAAATACCATAATAAAAAAAATTAAAACATTATTTCGCCACAACTATTGTATTTTAATTAAATTAATGGGCATTCTTAATTAAATTTAAAATCAGAAGAAAGACAAAAAAAATGGAGGAAGAAAAAAAGGCCCGCGAGGAAAGGTCCACGTGAGTTACGCACGTGCGACAATCGTGTGAGTTGCTGGACCCCACCGATTACTTATGTCATAAGACGTGCCACGTGGAGCCACAAAGAGGATAGTCAATCGTTCGTGGCCGTCCGATCATTTAAATATCTTTAATTCAATAATATCAGGAACCCATTTCAGTTGAAATTCCAGATATTTTCAGATATATATATATAGTAGATGCAAAGGTATTAATAAAAGTTACCATATTTTCCCTAACAATATGTTAGCTTATTAATACAAATATTATTGGACTGATGCATATCCTAGGGGTGAGCATGGGCGGATACCCGAACTTTTTTGGATGTCTTTATCTTTATCTCGATCTCGATCTCGATCTCGATCTCGTCGGGTTTTTAATTCTCAATCTCTATCTCGCGAAGCTCGGGTACCCAAGATTCGGGTATCCGAGAGAGTTCGAATCCGAACTCGTGTAAAATTTATTAAAAAAAATCTACCAAATCTGAACTCTTTATGTCACTTTGATGCTGAGATGCGGGAGAAGAACCGGAGACTGAGCAGAGCCGAACGCCGGAGAAGCGAAAGACGGAGATAGACCAAGAGGCGAGACAGTCGAACGACGGCGGAGACAGATGAACGACGGCGGAGACAGATGAACGACGGAGCAGAGCAAGAGCAGACCGACAGAGAAGCGAAAGACGGAGAGAGACGGAGAGCAAGAGAGCTAAGCAAACGACGGAGGAGAAGAGCCGAATGACGGCGGAGACAGCTGAACGACGACAGAGAAACAATGGAGCAGAGCCGAGCCGACCGACGGAGAAGTGAAAGACGGAGAGAGACCGAGAGCGAGAGAGACAGGCGAACGGCGGCGGAGACAGGCGAACGACGGCGGAGACAGAGGCGAACGACGGAGACAGAGACGAACGGCGGAGACAGAGCCGCGAGGCGACAGCAGAGACGGAGAGAGACCGAGAGTGAGAGATCTGTTCTGAAGACTCCAAGAGGAGGCAGGAGGCAAGGGCGCAAGGCAGGCTTCGATTCGTGAGAGAGAGATCAGAGAGTTATGGTAAATTAGGGTTAGGGGTATTTTTGTAAATATATTAAATATTAAGGGTATTTTTATAATTTTAATTTTTTGCCGGTACCCGTGAGATAACCCATCATATAATGCTCGAACTCGAACCCAAACCCGAGACTCGGGTTTTTCGTCTCACGAAACTCGTTCTCTGTCTCGTTATCTCGCGAGTAATGAATCCCGGGTACCCGTGAGATAGGGTACTCGGAAACCCGCATATCTCGGGTAAAAATGTCCAGCCCTAGCATATCCTCGAAAAATCCGAAATAAAAACATTTACTTTTTTTTCTGTTTCTGTCTGTCGGTCTATCAGATATTTATTTAGTTCGGTCAGATCTATACGAATAATTTTCTAACAAAACAATATATATATAGCTAGGTTGAAAAATATTTGAATACACGTGTAGATCGCAGCCGTCTGTTAGGTGGGCATTTCACCCAAATCTTTTGACTTGGCGCACTTAACGTATAACTGTATATATTCGAATATACATACATATATTCCGTTCGATACGAGTATTATCATAATTACAAAAAAGCACTTCAACTTTCGTAAAAGTTTCGATTTACCCCCTAAACTTAATAAAATCGAAAACCAACCCCAAACTATCGGCCGGTTTTCATCTCAAAAAATTAATCTCCGGCGACCAGACACAAACTCTTTGGGATTCGTTATTGGAATTACTTAGCTAAATGTTCATGTTATAGAAATTTCGTAAAAAATAAATTATGCAAAATCTGGAAAATTATATAAAAAATTATGAAATTTAACAATAAATAATAATAGATGGAGGGACTAATTACCTCGTGTTGCTGAGAAAATAAGAAATCGTCGCCTCTGTTGCAGTCTGTCATCTCTTCCTCCCTCTTCGTCCTAATTAACCGTAATTTAATATTTAAATTTCCTATTAACCGATAAAAACAATATATTCACGCTCGTCTCCTGTGACCAAACCCTAATTTTGCCTTAAAACAATATAATTTAGAGAGAGAGAGAGAGACCTTGGAGAGGGAGAGAGATCCCGGAGAGAGATAAAGAAGAAGAGATAGAAAGCGAGGGGTTGAGTGAGATGATGAGATAAGAATATGCGCCAAGTAATTATATATATATATATATATACACACACACATACTCTAACGCCCGCCCATGTATACGTACGTATGGATGTATGTGCGATGTATATGCGTAGAAGGGGAATATACACGTGTAATGTCTTCCCTCCTTAAAAAAAACTTTAAAAAAAATGGAAAGATACGTTTTCTGCATTGATGGTACATTAAAGTTACTACGTTATTCAAAACTTAAATTATACGATATTGATTTCATTAGAAAAAAAATCTGATAAAACATCTTATTACATTTTATCTTATTTATATATTAAGGTTTTTTAATCACGATATTAAGGATCTAAATCAAATGTTTGGAAGAATCATTATGCAATCACTAGTCACGTTGAAAGTATGATTACTGTTTCACTATAATATATTTTTTTGCTTGCAAAGTTTATTTAGACAAGATTGTCGTTAGGACATCAATCAAACGTTTACGGCCGGTCCTTCACACGTGCGCAACCGACGCTTCCCACGTGTCTATTTCTTCCCTATGAGATAGATAGGCATACAGTTGATATATATTTTGAAACTAAATAAATTGTTACCAAAACAAATATAATTTTTTTTTATATATAAGGGTTATACCAAACGAATATATATACACAAGTGACAATTTTTTTAAAAAGAAACTTCGGATTCATAAAATATATCAACTATCATTCCCAGATTCTGTAAAACAAGTACAATATATATGTATGTATATTCCTTCACCAAAAAACAAATATATGTATGTATATTCGTTTGTAACATAAGATTATAATTTTAACCCAAAAAAAACATAGTATTATAGTATCTTGAACAATCTTTATATATTTTTCTCACATATTTGATGTTTTTTCTAGTATTAATTGTTAATAAATAAATAAACAAAAAACGTATGTTTCATTTTGTGTTTGTAGGAAGATGCCACTAAAGACAAAATAAAGGACAGGTCAACAAGTTTGGGTCTACAAGAAATTTCTGTGGACTGATTCGTCTAATTTACTATAAGATGGTTGGGACAAAAATATAAATACCATACCGACCAAAAATAATAAATAATTGGTATATTTGAGGAGGAATATCCATATCATTATTCTCAAATCTCAAACTCCAAATTACAAAAGAGACAAACTTTAGAAGGTTTCCCCAAAATGAAATTGACCATTACAAAGATGGACTTACCATATAAAATTTCACCTTTTGTAGTTAACGCCTCATAACTTGCTTATAGGGACAGGTCCCATCTCTTTGGCCTTAGACCTAAGAATATGCTTCTGGATTTTGCCGGTGGCCGTCTTAGGCAGCGGACCGAACACAACCGACTTCGGTACCCAATAAGCCGGCAGCTTCTCCCGACAGAACCTCATTATGTCTTCCGACAACCTCTTCTCGTCCTGCTTCTCGTATCCGCTCTTCAGCGTCACGAACGCGCACGGCGACTCCTGCCACCGCTCGTCCGGTCGGGCCACCACCGACACCTCCAGCACGGCCGGGTGGTTGTACACTACGTTCTCGACCTCCACGCTGCTTATGTTCTCTCCCCCGGAGATTATGATGTCCTTAGACCGGTCCTTGATCTCAATGTAGTTGTCTGGATGTTTCACTGCAAGATCGCCCGAGTGGAACCACCCGCCTGCGAATGTCTCCTCGTTCGCTTTCGGGTTTTTTAGATACCCTTTCATCACCATATTCCCCCTGAAAACAATCTCCCCGACTGTTTTACCGTCGGGTGGGACAGGCTTGCCAGTACGGGAGTCGATGACATCAAGTTGCTCCATGCCGATATACCGGACACCTTGTCGGGAATTGAGCCGTGCCTGTGTCTCGGGCGGGAGGGAATCCCACTCAGGTTTCCAGGCACAGATGGTGGACGGGCCATAGGTCTCGGAGAGGCCGTAGGTGTGGGCGACACGGAAGCCCTTCTGGTTCATGGTGAAGAGGACGGATGGGGGAGGGGCGGCACCAGCTGTCATGACGTGGACAGTGTGAGGGAGAGGGAGAATGGTGTCATCCGGTGGGGCGTTAACAATGGTGTTGAGTACCACTGGCGCAGCACAGAAATGGGTCACCTTGTACTGGGCTATGGCTGAATACACTCCCTTTGCAGTCACCTGTAGTCACAATCCGACAATATGTAAATGCATATATGAATCTATGCAATGGCATCTCAAGCAAAGGTAAAAAATAGCTGATAAACATGTGCAGATTCGGGTTTGATATCGCTGGAAGTTGTGGAATATGAAGAATATGGAGAAGAAATTATGAACCTGACGGAGGCATATGCTTGTCCCACAGACCGCAGCAAGGGACCAAGGGAAGCACCAGCCATTGCAATGAAACATGGGCAGAGTCCACAAATAGACGGAGCCTTCCCTCATCCCCCAAATGATAGGATTGCTCAGAGCCATCAGGTATGCACCACGGTGGTGAAGCACAACTCCCTTCGGGCTAGCCGTCGTCCCGGAGGTGTAACCCAGAGCGATGCTCTGCCACTCGTTGGCAGGCGGCTGCCAGTCATATTCGGGGTTACCAGTTTCGAGAAACTTCTCGTATTCCGTGGCTCCTTTTGCCAGAGCCTGGCGGAGAGACTCGGGACCACAGGTCGGGTCGGCTATAACTATAAGGAGTGGACGTTTGAACCCGGATCCTGATTTCTCCTCCATGAGTTTCAGAGCTTCCTCTGCCAAATTGAAGAACTCTTGATCTACCATCACTACTTTGGATTGAGAGTGGCCAAGGAGAAACGCGATCGTTGGGGCGTTCAGTCGGATATTGACAGTGTTCAGCACGGCTCCAGACATGGGTACTCCAAAATGAGCTTCATACAAGGCAGGCACGTTTGGAGCGATTATGGCCACCTGAAAATTATGAGAAGTACCACAGTTTACAAGGGATTCACAACATGCCCGTGAACATTAAACGTCACAATGTGTTGAAATCTTTGATTCGAGCTTCAAAATGGTTTGTGCTGATTCTCAAGACTCCAACACAGCACAAGACATACAAATCGCTCTAATCAGTAATGATCAACAAAAAACACAGCATAACAGAACATATACATTGCTAGTGCATAAATAAGCACGATTCATGTGAGAGCAATCAAGCTGATTAAAGACGTAGACATACATGGATGTTGAAATCAGGTCTATAACACGGTCATCACAAAAATCATTTTTTTTTAAAGCCTGTTCAATCAAATTCATTGGGCATGTCAAACCCACGCATACTTTTATCTGTAAATCTTAAATCCGCTCCAACGCCAAAGATATCTCAGGGCCGAAATGCGATGAAATCTCAAAAATCGATCTGCAATCGAGTCACTGGCCAAAATTGAACACCGCATAATTGGGAATGAATAGGGTAAAAATCAACAAAGAAGCAAGCTACGCAACAAAACGAATAAATTTGTTTTCTGAAGGATTTCTTTCATATGTTATTGTTCTCGGTCGGAAAAGAAAGGGTGAGATTAGTTCAGGAGATTTATATAATTAATGGAGGATTTATCCAAATAAAAGATAATATTCTCTCATTAAATTAGACAGAAACAATCATTCTCAAAAAAAAAAAAGGCGTCATGAACATTTATGGAGGCCCATCATCTATTTTCAAAAATAAAAAACTCTCCAGCTACCATGGAGATCTTCAGATCAACGCCGAAAACGGCGTCGGATCAAACCATTACCAGTCAACCTCAGAGAACATAAATTAAAAAAAAATTGCGAAGGCAAATATCACCGTGGAACCGGGGCCGATGGACCGATCGGCGAGAGCGGAGGCGAGTCGGCGACACCGATCGTAGGTCTGACGCCACGTGTACTCGCTGGATCCGTGGATCAACGATTTCCTCGACGGATGAACCGTCGCCGCCCTCTCCAGGAACCACAGCGGCGTCAACGCCGTGTAGTTCGCCGGATTTTTAGGCAGATCGTCGATATCTCCCGCCGCCATGGCTTCGCCGCCTTCTTTCTCTCCACCTATACTTTCTCTCTCTAGAACTCTTCCTCTCGAGCAAAGAAGCACAGTGGGGAAGAGTGTGTGCTGAGAGGGGTTTTTTTTTTTTATATAGGGGGAGGGGCGAGAGTGAAACGTCAATGCCACGTGGCGTCTTGTGGTGCTCCATTGGGCAGTAATACAGTTGGAATTCACAAATTCACAAGGATATAGATAATGATGGGCAAAATTCATGCATATTCCAAAATTGGAAACGGAAACGGAAATGGATAAATTTTTCGGGTTATCGTTTTCTGAATTTTCAATATACGAATTTTCCAAAACTGTTTTAAACTTGTGTGGCCTAATTTATACCTTTTTTATTCAATAAATATCATATTTTGGCATCAGACGTTCTATATTCGAACAACATATATAAAAAAACATAACCACTTAGGATACATATGGACGATCGTTCAATATATGCCAATGTTTACAATCCCATGCGTAAGCGTAATAGCCGTACAGTGTGGGAGAAATCACACGGAAACCATGAATACAAAGCAAATAATACATGCATTACACGCAGACCACATGCATCTTCAGAGCTTTCCAAACCCTCTTCTTCGAAAAGAGAGTTTACTCATCGATCTTCTTCAACCAAAAACTCACATATGTTTTTTTTTTCAAAAAAAAAAAGCGACAGTTTCCTCGTCGGATATTCGATCAAGAGGAGGAAGAATCGGGAGACGAAGAAGAAGAAGAATCGAAAGGCTCTTGCTCGGAGCACGTGAGGATCTCGTGAGGGCCAGCTTCTTCCCGGCCGACACCCATAAGATCGAGGTAATAGAGGTAGTGAGATACGATGTTGTTCATGTCGTCGTTGTCGAATCCGGTGTTGCAGACCTGATCACCGTAGAGGACGTTCATGGTGGCTCCGAACCCAGGCACGCGCTTCGCCTCCGTGTCGTTCTTCGTCGGTTTCCATTTTCCGACGAACACGTCGTGAGCCGACGGCAAGTGCTTCTTCTCCGGCGTCATCCACCGCCAGATCGCCGCCTGAAAAGCCAGCGTAGCGTTGTCCTCTATATACTCTGGATGATTCAGAAGGTCCACTTTGAGCGCCTCCCCAGTCTTGCCGTAATTGTAGTTCCTGAACCAATAAATCAAATGATTAACCCAGGTCCGGTTAAGATTGTACCGGGGTAGATTTGCTCGTACCAGTAGATGGGTAAGGCGCCACGGCCGTGGTATGAGACTCCGGGTGTACAAGGGTACGTCAATTTGTAATATTCATCGCAGTATATCTTACTGGGGCTCATTTCCTTGTTGTAGCACAATCCCCAAGCGAGTGGACCGCCGGTTGCGACGCCATAACCGCCTTCAAGACCCAGCAGATATATCCGGTTAAGGAGTTCATCATTCTCATTCAAACACGTGCACGTAGTTAGAGGCGGTAATTTCGGATTTCAGTTTGAATTATATTAAGATTCGATTATTTGTCTTTTATAAAATCCATAACCATTCATTTCGGTTCGGATTTTGTCCAAGTTCGGATTTTTTATATAAAAAAACTCATTTTTCATTTTTTCTTTTATTCAATTTAATTGGTTCATGTTTAGTTTTCGATTTTAAAGAAATAATAACTAGGGGTGGACATCTCACTTTTTAGATCCATTTTAAAAAACTATATCTATTCGGTTTAGATTCAATTTTTACTGATAAAAGTATTTATTCTTTAAATAAATTTATGAGTTTTTGATTATTTTTATATTTTTTAGATCCATTTTAGATTATAAAAAAATATTATGACTATTTGGTTTTGATCAGGTGATTATTATTCAATTCGACTTATAAAATAATCGAACCGTATGCATATATTTAATACTAATCATAATCATTCAATTTTTATATTAGATAGGATATTTGGTACGTGTTCCGATTTAGATCGGTTCACTTATTCAATTCTTAACCAAATCGGTTAAGATATGGTAACAGCTTACAGGAAGTTTTGCTGCCGACGTGGCCGAGAAAGGCTGCGACCTCCTTCATGCCCTGATGTTTGCCGCCGGCGGTCCCAAAGCCCAGCGGCTGGAAATA